GAGCAAAGCGGGGGAGGTGGCGGGAGGGGGCATCAGGAGTGATGCGTGTTGTCTCTGCCGGGGTTTTAGTAAAGAGCGTACGGGCACGGGAAGGTCAGGAGGGCTGGGGAGAGGGCTTGGTTTGGGTGCAGAAGCAGCATCTTGCCCGGCTAAGTCTGCGAGCGGGATCGCGGCCATCATCTGGGCGCTGCATCTTGCAGGGATGTGCCTGGAAGCTGCAGGGAACAGGCACCAGCGATGCTGCGATCATCTCCAGTAATGGTGTGTCGAGAACAAAGTGAGCGTGGCTGTTCGCTGCCTCCCTCACGCTGGATTTGCCCTGTGAGAAGCTGAAGGTTCTCGGGAAGAACCACGTCCGTTCCCGGTGCTGGAGAGAAGCCCCACGCTTTGGCCTAGGAGGAGTTGTTTAGTTTGTGACCTTCCTAGCTCTGGGCTGGTGGGTTGTTCAGGGTTGGAGTTGATGGCCTAAATTCTTCTGCACCCCATGGTTTAGTTTTTTACAGCTCTGCCCATTTGTTCCAACCTATTCTTTATGTCCTGTTAAATATACAGACTGCAGAACTCCTGCAAGTAACTGCTCCCGAAAGCCTTGCCCAATCCAAATTGTCCAGATGTGTAGGTCTGGCAAGCTGAATGAGGCTGGGAGAAGATTTTTTTCTTTCCTAAAGACTGTTCTTTGTTTCATGTTTGACTGCTTGGTTTAGCGTAAGAACAGCAGTTCTACTACGGTATCCACACGGAAGGGGTTAGAATAAAGAGATTTAACACAAGCTTTTTGGAAATGCAGTCAGCAGTGCCAAAAAATGAGAATGAATGACTGATGAGAACACATTGCCCATAGATGTGTAGATGGGAGGGGAGGCTCTACGGTGGGTTTCTCTTTGGAGGCACTGGAATTTAGCACATGTAGGGGAACCCTCAATAGAAATAAAGTTGCAGTACTGCTTTTCAAAGGAGGCAGAATTCTACATTAATTTTTAAAAAAAGATGTAACACATTAAACTATTTACTAGCCTCACTGAATTCTTATACAGAATAAATAAAATATTGTAATCCTTTTGATAGTAAGCTTCATAACCAGAGTAGCAGTGACTAAATGTTCACCTTCAAGAAATTTGATTAGAAGATTATAACCAATTGAATGTTAGACACACATACAAAAGAGGCAGTAACAGAAAATTATTTTTATCTATGAAATAAATATTCTCCTACGGATAGATTTTGTAATATTAGACTCTTCTGAGAGAAGAAAATGTAGCTCTTGGACTTGTCTTCCATTTTTAGGAACTAGAACTTGATGAGATAGTTTCCAGCATTTGTTAGGCTGCTTCTCTATGCAGTACTTAATTCTATTTTTTAGTTTTATTTTTGGTTAGGTGGCTTGGAGGAAAAAAATAACCAGAATGGAAGCAAACATTAAAATACTGTATATCTTTCAATGAGCCATTGTAAAATAAATTCCCATACTGTATCAACAGATGATATAACCAGAATTTTTAAATAGGGAAGTTAAATGTAAAGCTGCACTTCCATATTGAGGCAGTGAAAAAAAGTGGGCTTTCAGACAAGTTGAGCATTTAACGTAAGACTGCTTGTACAGTAGTTCTCAGGTTTATGCTCCTTATCTTGATCTTATTTCCTCCATCCAAATTGGGAGCACTTGAGTCAGTGAAACAGAATTAATATTAATCTGTGTTATAATATAAGCAAAATAGAAAGTTAAAGAAGAACTTAAAAGTTCAGGCAGTGAAAACAACAGAATTACAGTAGAGTGAACACTGACTTCTAAATTCTTATCTTTTTGGTAGCAGTGTTGTAACAACTACATTATCCTATGATTACTAAAGTAATAAAAGAAAAGCCAGATCTCTCTAAGCCACCCGAGCTGCTTTGTTTGCCATAACTAGGAACTGGGTAATCTTACAAAAGTACAACAAAAAATCCACTCTGATACTACATGACCATTAACCTTCCCATGCATCTATTAATGACTGTTGTATGTCTATAGTCAGCCAGGCAACTGCAAAAGAAATCTAATATAGCCTCTTAATATCACTGACAGAAACAATACAAAGTTTAATCTTTGTATGTGTTAGTGATAATGATCCAGTGTCCACCTAGCATGTTTTCCAACCACAAGGGTTTTTCACTGTTTTTTAATGAGGTTCCTTTCTACAGCTTCTTGATGAACACTAGTGATGGTATGCTGGCCAAAGTGTGCCATTTCTATAAGAAAAAACACCAAACTGTTTCTCATTTCTGTGAAATCTCACAGAATTTTCCATTTTAATTGGTTGTAATGTCCACATTAAATTCTTCTAAAAGGATTTCCCACTTTCCCAGGTCTAACTCATCTTAGGTAAAAATGCTGGAGGAGAATTTCCAAAATAAGATACACAGTGGCTATAAGATCTCGTGCAGTTGCTCAACTGCCATTTTTCAAATAAGACAAAAAAGGATTGAAGTTGTGGTCTGATCATGCAAGCCCTTCCACATATGGGATTTCTTTTCTTCTTTTTTTATTCAGTAGAAATTCTGTGTGTGGCTGACTTGTGGGTTTGGCTCCTGCTTTCTGCTGGTGACAGTGTATGGGTTAACACTCTACAAGCAAATTGCCACGTCTAAGCCAGATGTTAATAAAAATCACAATGCAGTATACATCTACCATTCATTGGAGAAGTAACACAAGAATCACTGGTCATAGCACAATTACCAGATCCATCTTGCAATTGAGATCAGTCTCTGTGTGAGTAACTTTCTGTAAGTGTGAGACAGCAGAGCTGATTTGCTGCCAGGCTAATCTTTTTGTGCACTACAATGAAGCAATGGGGCTAAGCCAGTCTGCAATCTTCTCAATTTTGCCAGGTTTATTTTTTTGCTCATTTGGAGTCTGTGTTCTCTGTTTACTTCTCATCGTTTGTTGATTCAGTTCTAGTACAAATTAAGCACATGCAGCTTTCCTGAAACTATGTTGAGTTACAGCAGCTCATGGTTTGGAACTGAAACTGGTATGCAGTTCTATGTAATATGAGAATCAGATTTATTGACAGGGAAACATGAACTAGAAGTTAAGTTTAGGAATAGAGGATTCATATGTTATTAACACTTTGTGAATAAGTGGAGAAAAAGTAGCTCTTAAAATGGTAATAAATTTGGACTGGAAATTACAAGATTGGCCAAGTATCAGAAAAGCAACTGAGTACAGCAGTGAGTAAAAGTACTTTAAAATGCAGGTCGGATAAATTTGCAAAAGCAATCATATGACATGATTGCTTGTGATGGCAGGGGACTAGATTTGTTAGCTAAGGAGATCCCTTCCAGTCTTGTGTTCTTACTGAGAGATGTTAACAAAAGGATGAAAGTAGAATAAGTAACTCTCATCTGGATTATCTTTAATGTTTCTTCAATGTACTGGTTGGGCTACCACTGTAAATTAGCACTGTACAGAAATCAGAGGATTTCATACCATGCCAAACATGTTCAGTGATCCAACAGGTTACTGTTTCTCCAGGTTGCCTGCTCTAGTTAAAATAATTAAGTGATTAGGAAAATCTGATAGTTACTTTTTATAATGCAGCAACATTTCTGCTGTAAAAGCAAAGGTATCAGTCATAAACCATTGTTAATGAGATCTACCTGCACCCATTGGGCCTTGCTAGACAAAGATCGCCAGGGCAAGTTGTGCTCATTGTAATGCAGAACAAGGCCTTGTCTTTATTAAGAACAAAATAGTGGTCGTATTTTAGGCATTACTGCCAACAGTGCAGCGTTGGTTAGGAACATTATCATCACCATCTTCATAGGCTTTTTTACCAGCCAACTACAACGATCTGATTTTGCAAGAGCCTGAGTTATGTCCACCTTTGCATCTTACTACTTGTTACTACTGCAGTTGCACTAGTGCTGACTAATGGTGTAACACAGGGACAGTTTTACTACACAGTTTCATTCAGAGGGAAAATATTGTCTGTGGACAAATAGTTATTTCTTATTGTTTTATATAAAAAGTAAAAAGCACACTTCAGTATTCATCTAATGGAACCTAGCATTTCAAAAGTCCCTTTTCTGAGGCTAGCTGCACCACTAAAATGTAATTTGAAAACAGCAGAATACATCTGTAATATTTCAGCTGTGAAATGAATTGGAATGCAATGGATTGTGGTTTTGAGTAACCAGTTTTTCAGGACATTTCTGTTTGTCGTTGAATTTGTCATATGCCACCATAAGAAAGGGAAAAGAGGAGGGAGGAGAAAAACACAAGTGGTAACATACAGAACAAATGCCAGTGGTTAAGATATGCAAACAGTGCTTTGATTCCTCTTTATCATTCTGAGCTTATGGCATCTGGTGGGTCATTCGAAAAAAATGGAAGTCAAAGTCCAGTTGTGAAAGATGAAGTTAAGAATAAAAGTGGGGAATATGTGGATTTATTTTCAACCTTTCACTCAGTCCTCCTAACAGGAGGGATCTTTAATGGTTTGAGTCTAGGAATGGTTTCTACTAGATTCAGCTTTGGGGAAGGTAAGTTTTCTGTTTATTCTGTCTGGACCTTTCCTTCATGACCAGGTCTGGTAGTCCATTTGTTTTTTGAAGATTTCCAGTTTTCACTTTCCAGAAGCTGATGAAAAATGCAAAGGCATTGCTTATAGGGACAGTTCCACCCTTCTGCCAGTGCCTGCATGCTCATTCCTGCTCCCCTGCTGGACCTGCGTTAGGACTTGTGGCGGTGCAATGAACTAGATTAGTGAATAGATCCAGTTAAGAGTAAGCTGCATTTTGTCAGGTCGGTGCCTCCCTACCTCAGTATCCTAATCAAGTTCTGGCAGCTACAGGAATACCAGTTCTGGGATAAAGGAGGCATTAGAGGTGAGGATCTGGAGGTAGGGTGGGAGAGGAGCACAAACGTCCCTTAAATCTAAAGGGACTCTGAAGGAATCAGTAGTTTTCTCAGGGTGCAAACACTCAAATAACGTAGCAGTACATTCTAACTATCCTAAAAATAAATGTTGTGGCACTTATTGGTACCTACTCAGTCTGGAGAAGCTTAATAGCATGTGTCCAGTGTACTGGGATGCAAACACAGAAGACAATGGCAGTTAAAACAAAGGAACCTTGCAGTGTTTCCTTGTAGGAAAATCAAATGGATGATGATTAACTTGACAGGAACAATGCAAGCTTGTCTTTTTTAGCCTGTACATATTAACCACAAATAATATGCCACCATTTAATTACAGGGCATGTTCCAGGTACCTAAGTTATGCCTAGAAAAAGTGTTTTTTATGTGTCCGTGCCAAAAAATGTATTTTCATTTATTATCATATTAGTTCTGACTATAAATAGAATCATGCAGCCTGTTACGCATCTTGTAACAAGCAGTGGGGTCTGTCTAATGAAAATACTGGGAAAGCAATATAAACATCAGTGACAGTATCAGATGATACTTTTATGTTAAGTGTGTACTCTCCGAATTGTACATTGTACGTTTGTACATTGCCTGTCATTTATCACAAAAAAAATTATTATTCCTTGGAAGATGATTGGGGTAAAAAGACTATTCCATTTTAAAGTGAAATTAACATTGATCAAGAAGGAGCAAGAGAGAAATGTAAGCAAAATCATCTTTTCTTTGCATCCTGGAACATGACTTGTTTTAATTCTTTTTACCAGGCTTATCAACAGAAGCTAAAGCTAGCCCTTATAGGTCAAAGTATTTTTGGACAAGAAGTTTATAACAAGCTGAGAAAAGAGGGCCATAAAGTCGTAGGAGTATTCACGGTGCCTGACAAGAATGGACAAGCCGATCCTTTGGGTAAGTGTAACCTTAATCCAAATGTTAAAATTATGGGCATACAGAACAAACTTGCCTTTTCGTGAGAAGGTGATATCTATATGGGAATGATTTGCATATATTGCCTTTGTTACACTGGACTCAGCACAAGAACTATGCTTTAACAAACACAAGTCCCAGAACTGGTTTAACCTTGTTAGTTAGTATTTAAATGTTGTTTCTAACCATACAGGGCCATACATTATGATATTAAAAAAAATAAATAAATTAATGTACATCCTAGAGGTAATCATCTTGAACTAGATCTCTATCTTAAAGCAAATAGCTGCTGAGCCTGTACTCAAGCATAAATGTCTGTCACCTGTTTCACTGTGCTGTCTGGGACACTCAAGGCGTGAAGCCAAAGCAGTTTGTCCCTGGCTTTCTGCCCTTTCTGACAAGCTCGCATGCATCAGTGTACCTGCAGACCCTATTTCTCTTCCACCTGAACTATGGAAATCCCATTGAAAAGGGTAGAGGAAGCTTTGCTCTCCCTTTTCCCATTGCCAAGATGCATAAGGATTTTCTAGACTTCCTAAAGAAAGAGTTGCTGCCTGACATATATTCAGAATTGTACTCATACAGCAGAACTCAGTGTAACAAAGAAGCTACTTTGGAATCATCTGAATTGTAATTTTTTTTTTTTTTTTTTTTGGTAGCAGAAAAATAGCGAGTTAATATGATTAGCAAATAGAAGTGCCAGAATGGGATATACCTTTATGGATAATCAGAAATTAAAACTACATTCCATAAGCAGTCTTAAGACTTTGGGTTTTTTTGGTTTTTTTTTTGTCAGGTCCTGACATGTTTTTACAGAACTCTTATGAGGGATGAATCAAACAAAATTTTGCTTACCTGGGATACGCACTCCCAAACTAACCTATAGTTCTCAAGTTTATTATATTCTGTAAGTCCACCTCATTAAAAGATTTAATCACACTTTGGAAGAATTAGAGGAGGAAACTATTAGTTTAGAAAAAGACAGTTCGACTATCCAGCTCTGGAAGCATACCATAACATTTGGTTACATTATATATCTTTGTACAGTTGTTACACTAGGAGTTGTAACTAAGCAAATCTTCCACTGATTTCAATCATATATTTATTTTAACTAAACCTTAGAATTAGTTTATTGCTGTCTAGTGAAAAAAAAAACACTAAATACTTTGTTGCTTTTTACTTCCAGCTGACTCAAACAGCTTAAATCTCAAATGAAATTTGCTAATGTTTCTGTATCCTCAGACAGCTGCAATTTTTATTTCTAAAAGCAATTGCCGTACACACTAATGTCTATGGAATGCTATTTAAGTAAGTATTTACTTAAGACCTAGGTTAATAAGCTAAAGATACTTCATGTCGAACTTAAGATCCAGTTTCAGAAGTGAAAAAGAGAAGGTACAAAAATGTGGTTAGAAATATAAATTAAATTAGGTGAATTTTCCATACCTCTTCTTGTTTTCCCTATTACACATATAACTCAACAGATGTAGAGTTTGGCTCTCTGTGATGAGTTATTAAGCAGTTGTGCAATAGAATTTATCAAACATCTAAAAATTCTCTCTGCAATTACTGCAGTTTTTTCTCACCTTTGAGCCTATTTTGGGGTGTAGCCTATTTTTGAGCTGTGTGTCTCACAGATAAATGGAAGCATATCCAGAAGGCATCAGTAAAAAGAATTTTGAAGAAATTATTGAAGGCCTCTAGCATCTGTAATTATTTGCGCCACATGGCAAAATGCTGCTGACTTGAGTGAATCTTAGTTGTACATAGTCATATTCACATACAGATTGCTGATGTGGAAAATTAACTTCTGCTAAAACAAACCTGTTGCAGTCAAAAGTAATGACCGGACAGGAAATGAAGTGTGACTGTTAAATAGTCAATAGCATTCATCATTCTTTTCTGCTTTCACTGGTACTTATTAGCTAAGTCACAAGAGTGAACTTAAAGTTAAGAATGACATAAGCTGTAGGAATGAGAATCAAAGACAGAATGAATAAAATATATCGCAGCACAAAGGTTTTTAAACAACATACAAGACAGTACAAAGGGCACTCTGTAATCATACACCTGATGATCTACTTGAGTTGCCATGCAATATGTTTCTGATTTCAAGTTTGAATTTTTAACACAAAATGTGAATTTAAAAAGAAAATTGTTTTTGCCCCTCAGCACTGGCAGCGGAGAAGGACGGCACTCCTGTTTTTAAGTTCCCCAGATGGAGAGCTAAAGGCAAACCTATCCAGGAGGTAGTTGCAGCCTACAAATCAGTTGGAGCAGAGCTAAATGTCCTTCCGTTCTGTACACAGTTCATCCCTATGGATGTTATTGGCTGCCCAAAACATGGTTCAATTATTTACCATCCATCCATCCTACCACGCCACCGAGGAGCTTCTGCAATCAACTGGTGAGTTTTGTTCATCAAAACTATACGTATGTCATGTTAGGATGTTGGTCTGTACCCATTACTCATGTAAATGCTAGCACAGTTCTGTTGACTTTGCAATTGCCCTGAAGGAACTTCTCTGAAGCAGCTGAGTATTTGGTTCATGAACTGCACTTCATACCTAAGATTCATTATGCTTTCCAATGCAAGTGCAGCTGTTCTGGGAAGATCAGTGATATGATCTGTACATTCATATAATTTACACAGGCAAATCAACAATCTGTAATTTTCACAGGCAGAACACTGCCCTCCTAGCTCGTCACCTACAAACACTAGATCAGTGTCACGACAGGGCCTGAGGCAGAGCCTAAGATTTCACAGAAGGGAAATAAGGGAAGGGAAGGGAAGGGAAGGGAAGGGAAGGGAAGGGAAGGGAAGGGAAGGGCAGGGAAGAGGGAAGGGGGAAGAGAATCCACAAGAATGAAACCTTATCTTACTGTCTTCCTAAGCAATGCATGGCTAGATTCAAAATGTTACTGTGAAAGAACTACACTGCAATAATGACCATAGTAGACTCAGATCTAGCATTCCTGTAACAGCGGAAATGCCATTATCACTGTGTTTAAATTCAATAAGAAATTGTGTAAATATAAAGAAAGAATTTTAAAAGAATCTTACAGGCAGTATGATAATTATCTAAAGACACAGTGTTGTAGCTTCAATGTAAAGGCATATTTTGTTGGGTTTTTTTTTATATCCTTAATGGAAAAAATGCTAAGCTGAAGTACGTAAACAGAGGAGTAAAGTAGACTATTAGAGACATAAGGAAATCCTTCAAAAATTGGCAGTTGTGTCCAAGAGAGTAAAATAAAAAAAAGAGCATAAACTCTGGCAAATTAGATGTAAAATAAGAGTAAAGCAATCCGGAAAAGAAGTAAAGAACTAGCTTTTAACAGCATAAAATTGAATAATAACCATTTTCTCAAATGCATTCAAGGTAGGAGATAGATAGGGTGATCTAGGTGTTCGATATAAAAAAGATGTTTATCAAAGAGAACACCATAGTAGGAAATCTGTATTGGAATTCAGGATGGGGGAGCTTAAGATGTTACTACCACACAGCCCTTCTTTGTGTAGAATAAGTCAGAACAATTCTCTTGAGCTGAACTGTGAATGGAAGAGATTTTAGATAAACTGATGAATGAATAAGAATCTCTGCTCAGGACCAGGTGACTTTCAAGCAAAGGTTTTGCAGGTTACTGTTCCTTCAGATTGTGTGGGTGCAGGAGACTGGAAAACAGGAAGAGCAATATCAGTTTTAAATGAGCTCGGAGGAAAAGCCAGGAAACTGTAGACCAGTCACTCTGATTTCAATCTGTAATAAAGAATACAGTTTTTACACAAATGGGTAAATGTGATAATGTGAAAGTGAGATTAAGAAAATGAGTGGTCAAATTCAAAGTTTAAAAATTATAAGATAATGTACATAAGGGGAAAAAACCTAACTATATGTAAGCAGCAATAAGATTTAGTTAGTTGTTGTTACTCAGAAAAGAGACCATGGGAAGATCTTAAATACTGTCTGCATCTCAGTTAGGACATGAAGGAGCTAGAAATGCTTCAGAAAAGGCTAAGAAAGATGGTGAAATGTATAGAACAGTTTCCACATGATGGGAGAGAAATCTAGGAGTCTTCAGACTGGAAAAGAAGTTATTGGGAAGGAAATGTACCAGCAGTATATTAAGCCATGAAAGACATGGGAAGGTGAATAAGGAATGATTGGTCATTCTTAATCAAAAGTTAGGGGGCAGTCAGCAAAGAGATCAGGTAATAGGATTTGACTAAAAAAGGAGGTACTTTTACTCCATGCAGTCTGTTATTAAACTGTGGAACTGCACATCTAGAGAACTCCAGAAGAGTGTTTTCACAGAGGAAAAGTTCATCAAGATATATTCCACAGGAAGGCATAGATACCAACTCTCTTTCAGGGAGTTTCTGAGGTGAAGGTTTGCAGAAATGAGAATGTATTCCAATGGTGTATCACCGAGTCTTGCCCTATTTTGCACGTTCCTTCTGTAAGCACCTGCTCCTGCCCTTCTCAGGTAAAGGCTGTTGTCCTAAGACCTTTAAACTAAGCTAAGATTTGGCCTTGATTTGGCCTTGGCTGACCATTCTCATGTTTCACCCTCACACCTCTTGCATGCAACTTCTTTCATCTGTTGTGGCTACAGCCCTGGTGCTGATCAGACCCTTCTCCCCCACAGTATGACTGAGAAAGCCTGTGGGAATTAGGCATGGCTAAAGGGGCACCAGACACAAACAAGGATGTTGGGCCTCTGAGGGTTCCTCGCTTCATCCTTTACAGCCTCTTCTAGCTGCTGCCACTTTCTAATCAGCTGTCTGTGGAAGGAGCTGGTGGGCAGAGGAGGGGGCACGCAGTAGTTCTCATCCTGTCACCTATTCAACATTAGGGACATTTGCCCATGGTACCTTTTTCTTCTGCAGCCATGCAGAGGACATGCATTTCTCACCAGGGTGCTCTTTTTGGATTTGCACATAATATAAAACAGAAGAGATGCTGCTTAAATGTGGGAAAGATACAATATGGGCTAGCCAAGCTGTCACTTCTGTGAACCTGCCAACTTCCCCAGTTGTCTTTAGAGTTTGTCCCTTCTTCTGCACAAATGTGTGCTTTACTCCTTTTAATGTAGTTTTCAGTGCTTACAATTGATAGTGATTTTTCATGTGTATAAGCCAGATCTCCGACGATCCTGTTACAACATGGACTGCCAAGGGAATACTTACATGTGATATACCTTACAGAAAATGGCATTGGTGTTTGCATGCAGAGAAATGGTTAAAAGCCTGTAGGAAAGATGTATATCTCTCCATTTCTGGCTGCTCCCTTAAACACACTTCTGTTTGATTATACATCATTCTGAGGCACTTACAGCTCCAAAAGAGAACTGGAAATCTAAGTGGCTGAAGTTCCCTTCAGATTCAGAGTCGGAGCCTGAGTTGATACAGATCGACACAGGCCTATTGTAAGCAGTGCTATCTATGTTCATTCACTGCAGCTGAGAATCTGGCTGGATGTAAATTCCCTTAAAAACTTTTCCTTAAACAGTTGCATAGCCATCATTTTCCACTCTGAGTTTAGCTCTTTTTCAGCAGTGGGACAACTGTACTGCCCTTGCTGACCTACAGATAAGTTGTGAGGCTTAGCTAGTTACAGTAAACTATGAATTATTCAGATAATATGCTGTGTAGATGCTTCCATCTTTCAAATTACATCATAACTATTGCACACCTTTTGCTCTGTGTGTCTCACCACTAATAATGCTTTAAAAATAATTATCACAATGAACACTTTAAAAATAATTATCACAATGAACTGTTTGATAGGCGCCCTGGATTCAGTTGCAGCATTTCTGATGCCACTTTGTGGAAACCACACATCAGCAGTATCAAACCTGGGTTTCTGACTAAGAAATGCGCAGTGAAACTAGTGTTAAAGACGGTTAGGATTGTCTCTTCTATCTACCTAAAGCAAACTAATGTGTAACAGATGGGTTGATATCCCTGACTACTTTCATACTGTCTGTATTTACTGTAAGGTTGTTTGGTTGGGTTTTTTTTATGTCCAGGACTTTAATTCAAGGAGATAAGAAAGCAGGATTTACTATTTTTTGGGCTGATGATGGTTTGGACACTGGACCAATACTTCTGCAGCGAGAATGTGATGTTGGCCAAAACGATACTGTGGATGACCTGTATAACCAGTTTCTCTTCCCAGAAGGAGTAAAGGCTATGGTATGTGTAGCTGTACTAAATATCAGCATTTTAAGAGAAAAAGAAAAGCATCTGTTGGAGTTTGAAAGTAAAGGAAATATAGACAAGATGCATACATTTGGAAAGACAGAACTTGTGGTGCTCAGCTGAATCCTAGACTTCAGTGGAGCTGTACTGCTTCACGACAGCTGAGGAGGTGACCTCAGAATATTTGTTGCTGACAGAGTAACAAATGCTCTGCAGGCAGACCATATCTTGTTTCCACAGAAGGCAAGAAGTCGTATTTGTCTGGAATGTAGCTCTTTCCACAGATTTCTTGAATGTTTTTACAAGGTGAAATTTTTTACTGGCTCAGAGAGAATAAAAAGTTAGGGAGGAGACTGAAAAAAAAAGTCAGAGCCCTGGTGGATTAGCTTTGGCTACTGTATGCTTGTCCTTTTTTGTTTTATTTTAAAATGAAGAAAAGAAAATGCATAAAAAATACTCTGCAAGGATCGTTAGAGAAATTTTTTCTCTCTCCACTTAAATGCAGAGAAATAGCTTTTTGCAGAAAGGAAAAAGGAGAGAGTTGAGTGCAGTCATACAGAGCCACATTTCGGTCTTGCAGCATTTAGGTAGCTGCTCTGTGTTTGGTGACTAGGTACTCCCATCAAATTTCTGAGGCTATTTCTTTGTCGAAGAGGTTTAAGCATATATATATGTTAATCAGTGCAGCATTGGTCCCCTAGATTTTAGAAATCCTAGGTTTTAAAAAGAAACCAGTTTCCCTTGTGGCAGAAAGTCTTTTGCTGTCATTCACAAGTATGACTGAGGGAAAAAAGTGAACCAAGCTAACATTAAATCTGTTTGGTTTTTTTTTTCACTTAGGTGGAAGCTGTACATCTAATTGCTGATGGTAAGGCCCCTCGTATACCTCAGCCTAAAGAAGGGGCAACATATGAAGGGATCCAGAAAAAGGAAAACGCAGAGGTAGTGTTAAATAACATTGTGGTTTGTGCATATCACTAGAAAAGTTGTTATTAACTCAGATTACAATAGCAGTGATATCAAGTTAACATGAATTTTAACTCAGTCATTTCCCCACCTTTTATTCCTAGGATAACTCCAAGGATGCATGTAATAGGAGCGTTAAGTTCCTACTTCCTTTCAGCAGTTGCATATATTTAGAAACTTGATGTCCTACTTGGGATCATCTACACATAGCTAGATGGCAGCTGCACCTTCAGTGGATTCTTAATATGTTGCCATACTTTTAGATACAGCATTGAATGGAGATAGCTCTCCTTGTTTACTAAATTCTCTACCAGAAATAGATTTGATGTTAGAAAAAGCAAGGGTTGGCACCTTTCCAGTTGGCATCAGGAAAAAAAAAATAGGTCACATAAACAACAGAGAAAAAAAGAATTTAAACACCCATGTAAGAACTGTATTATGTAAACACCTCCACTGCATTAGCTGGATCTTCTTTGTGGTTGGGAAGGCCACCATAAAATGGTAGTGAATGCTACCTGTAATACCCTATTTTCCTTTTCTAGACCCATGCAAAAGTTAAAAAAGAAAAAGTAAAAATTATTCCAACAATTTCAGTCACTTGTCCATGGTAAATGTAGTCTTTTCCACCTGAAATGTCGCAGGTGATACTTTTTATCATATTTCCATTCCTGACTTACCTTAGAAACAAATTGTTTTGCATAAGGATATTTTTGTTCATCCCTTTAATATAAAATATAAGGAGCTTCCCTGGAGTGAACTAGCTGAATCTCCTTGCTGTAAAACTATTCTCATCGGCTTGTAACTTGCTTCTAAATATTCTTTGTGCTTAAACTAAGAATGATGCTGGGTACCTGAACTGTGTTATTTAATAGCTATTCTGGTATTTTCTTTAATTCATTTTGTACATGTACTCACAATACTGCAAAGATAAAGGAATTTCTTTTTGCTGGTGTTACACATTAAATATACATGACATTCTTAACAAAATGTTATTTCCTTTTTCCTAAAAGTCTTGCAGGAATTGCAAGTTGTAATAGGGATTCCATTTGTGAAACAATTTATAAAGGGTTAGTAAATTATTAGAAAGTATTTTAATGAAAGCTTGTAGATTTATTAAAGAACTTAGGATCTATTTATTGCTAATAAATCACTTTCAGCAAAAGGTAATACCCCAGCATATACTTATTTATATTTATACTGTGTTTATTATATTTGTTAATCATAATATTAATTATTTCAGAATGAATACCTAGTAGAAAGAGTTATATTTTCATTATATTAGTGTTAGAAGGAGAATCTGTGAAAAGATACAGGCTGTACAGAACACAGAAGTGCTAAGAGCATCCCATTTGATAGGTCTTTGATGATTAGCCACCCGGAGATCACTGATCTTCCTTTTAGACCAGACCCTTTCTATGCTCTTAAATAAATGAACGGTCGAAAGAGAAGGAGGGACAATTTGTAATACTTATATAGGAAAAGATTACTAACTTGATTTATAACTAAACAGAGAAGAATTAGCTGGCATGTCTTGATTTCCTAGATCTCCTGGGACCAACCTGCATCAGCTTTGCACAACTGGATTCGAGGGCATGATAAAGTGCCTGGAGCATGGGCAACAATAGATGGCCAGGTATGCTCTGAAAACCAGAAGAATTTTTGTCTTTTCTTTACCCTCTTTTTGAGCTTTTTTATTATAAAACTGAAGGTGCCTCCATACAAGTGAATACAAGTGAGAGTTACATTGTAGTAGCTCTCATTTGGTGACTATATGTTTTGTATATATCTAGAACAGGCACCTAAACAAATGTACAGAACACAGTAAAGTTGGGGTTGTTTTTTTTTTTCAAACAATAGATCCATTTAATTCAAAGAAAGATACGAGTAATATCTGGAAAAAAAAATTGGGCATGGTACAAAGCAATAAGAAGGGTAGATCCAGACTGTGCCAGTCATTTTGGGAAGCAGGCATGCATTACAGTATAATGCGACCCATGCTGTACAGTAGGCAACATCACAGTATTAAGAGCAAAATGAAACACTGTGAGCCACTGAAATAACAAAGGAAGTTTTATTTTAAAGAGATTTGGGCCTAGATCATTTGCAGAAATAAATATATCTCATTTTATCCAAAATCAACTACTTCCTTTCAATGTATTAATTACTATTATTAAGTACTATACATTTGATCCACGTTGTACTTGCATAAAATACTTTAAAAATCACATTATCTTTCCTGGGTGTGATGTCCAGATTTTCTTACTTCACTATTAGCCATCTGCTAGTAGGCTGCTCCAAAAAGCTTGATTCTGCCCTAGTGTTCAGGAACTGTTGCTGATTTGAGAGCCCAGAAAGAACAGAAGAGCCCAAGAGAGAGGCAGTGTTCAGCATTGCCAGCCTGGGTGCAGAGCAGGACTCCCCACCAGTCACAGTCAGGCTTCTGCTGGTCTCTCACTTTGGGCATGCACTGACAAAAGGTGCCTCCCTTTCTGCACTCGTTCCAGCAGGCACGTTGTTACGGCTAAGCACCTTTGCAGGGTTAGGCAGCTTGCAAAGTTTTACAAGACCTGGGTTGTAAGACACAGCTATAATGTTGTAACATGTTTTCCATGTGTAGGTACTTATATTTTATTTTATATTAAAGCTTCAAACAATATAATTTCATTGTTAGAATTTTAGAGCATGTTTAGAATCTGTGCACTTTTAATTCCATTTATTTTTAGGTGGTTACTTTTTATGGGTCATCATTACTTGATGCTTCAGTGCCTGCTGGACAAGAGCTGGCAATAAAAGGTGCATCAAGACCTGGACTTATAACCAAGAATGGTCTAGTCATTTTTGGTAACGATGGGAAGATGGTAAGTGTTCACCCTGGTAAACATGAGCATGGATGGGATAACTGTAGCAAGAAGTGGAAGTAATGTGGAATTGTCAGGCTATGCAAACCCAGCCGCTAATGACAGTCAGCTAATTCGCCTGAAGTTTATCAATCCTCTACCATCCTATAGAGAAGACATTCATGTTTTGGTTTTCACGCAATTCATATTCATTTCCAATATGGACTAAAATATACCAACACTAGGAGAGAATCTGAAAGACAGGTAGCAGTGGCCTGTGTTGAATTACCTGCATCAGAGCAGCTTTCCTGCAAGCCATTTATTTCAATAACCATATTAATGCCTAAAAACTCTTCACACGAGGATATATTGCCTCCCACATAATGTAAAATCATATCCTCTCATTTTTCAGGTACTAGTGAGAAATCTACAGTTTGAGGACGGAAAAATGATCCCTGCATCTAAATACTTCTCTGCTGATGAAACAACTGCCCTGGAACTTACAGAAGAGGAGAAAAAGATGGCAGAAGATATTAGGGTAATTAAAAAAAACTGTTTTAGTAGGATATTACTCCAGACAAAAGCATTACATACTTCTCATTATAGGCAAAGCATATCTTTTATTTAGCCATGCAATTGATAAAATGTACTCAGAGAGTACGGGGTTGAATCTTTAGTTATTAAAATTAATTCAGGTGGAATTGGGAATTCACTGGAGTACTTACATGTCACTTTAGAAAGTTTTCTTTCAGATACAAGTGATACAAAGACAGTGATTGCAGGATCAGTTATGGTAAACATTTATGAATGATGAAGGTGGGAGTCAGGAAAAACAAATTAACCTCTGCCTCACAACACTGAGGTTTTCAACACTGACAGACCTGGACAGTTCTGAAATTCTTTCTTCACTGTGGTGTTGCTCACTAGGATGTACTCAGAGTGGTCCTGTTGGACGAGCTCCAGGGAGCCTTAGAACAGCAGTCTGAAAGAAAAAAAGCAGCCATTTTCTCCTTGTACCCATGTGCACTGTCACTCTTCTGCCGCACACAAGGGGCTAGGTGGCAGAGGGATGCAGCAGTGGGGCAGCTGGAGCAGAAAGCTCTCATAGGCAGAGAGGCGCTTTGCTGCCCTCTCATGTAATCCGTCCCTCTGTAGTGAGTGTCAGGGGCTTAGCTGAAAGCCACATTTGTCCTTAAAGTTTTGTGCCAGAGCAAGTGAATCACAGATGTCTTCCCTTCTGCTAACTCTGCTACAGGGTCAATAATTTTTGGCACAGGTCAGGCAGCTTGGTGCACTAATAGTTTAAATTGCTTCTTCAAGATTACCTTAAACCTGCTTGCCAACAACCTAAAAGCTGCCTGGAGCTATTGACTGACTGAGACAATAGCTAAAAGAAATATAAACTCTTCGGGTCATGACACTACCTGCTAACTCTGAAACCTAATTATAATTAATTGAAATATTACAATACCAGTTATTTCACTATTCATGTTAGCAGAAGTGTCCATGTCATGCATGCAGCTTAAGCTACTTCTTAGCTCTGCCCAGGTGCCAGAAATGCTGTCAAAGTGCTCCAGGCTGTCCTTGCCTCTGCTGATGATGCATTCCATCACACAATGGGAAGTTATTATTTGGAGGATAAAGATCTTGAAAAAAATGGGCCTGAAAATTATTAGCATTATACCATTCAGGTTTCTTGCTGATTAGGTTAAATTATCATGGACAAAATATTTTTATAAGCTAATTATGCTGAAGAATTTATTGACTAACATCAGGTCATTACTTTTTTAATGTATTATTAGGCTATTTGGAAGGGAATTTTGAGCAATGTTGCTGTAATTGAGGATTCCACAGACTTCTTCAAATCTGGAGCATCCTCTATGCATGTTGTCAGGTAAAAAATATTCAAAATAACAAAATTTTGTAGCCAAAGTTAAGGGAAACAAAGTTGTCATGCTGAGTTTAAATCAGGGTTGATCAAGTAGTGATAAAAAAAATCCCCCTATTTAAGTGTTCCCTTTCCTACCTTTGAAAATGTAATACACTTCTGCTCCCAAAATTAGGAGATGTTGACATAATCCTGCTCTTTCTATTGAAGGAAAATTCCTCTTAACTTCAGGAACATCAGCCACATGGGGGAGCATGGTGATGCTCAAACCTGTCTGCATGCAGTAACAGGTATCTCAAGACCAGGGGGCTGACTGGGAAGCTGAGCAAAGAACTTCCCAGAGGGAGAGAGGAGCCTTTCACAGAAAGAATTGAGCCTATGCTTGCAAGTGCAGAGTTCATGCTGTGTTGGGTCACCTCACCTACCTTCTTTTTGCAACTCAATTATCCCAGGCCTTAATATAAGACCAGAATTTCAGGTGGTTTTTTTTTTTTTTTTAGCAAACTGATTATTGTCCTTATTACTTACCAGTCTTATAGGGCTCTGAATGTCCTCCATGTATTGGTTAGAGTAGTCCCATAAACTGTTTTATCAATCAATATATGCTATTTGTCATTTATTTCCAAAAGTTTACCTAAAAGTATTCCAGAACTGACATTTTCTTTTCCATCACACCCCCAATTAAACCAACAGATTTCCATAAAGTGCACAACTTCTGTGCCACTGTTGTCAGAGAAACACATTCATATGCATACAAACTGGTGCCTGGTTTTGACCCCTTTTGACCTTCTAATGATTCAGTTATCTGAATAATTCTTTCATTTGTAATTAAACTTATTCTTTCTTCAAAATCTTTAGAATGCTAGAAGAGATCAAACAGAAATATAGTGGACTTCAACTACAGAATGAAGATGTGTATATGGCCACTAAGTTTGCAGACTTTATTCAAATGGCTGTCAGAAAATTCAGAGGAGAAGACAAAGAAGAAGAGTTAGTCATTGATTATGTAAGACCTTTTATTTTGCCTTTATTGCTTATTCTTTCTTGTTTTTTGGGAGAGGGTAGACAGTGCATTTTATTAGACTGCTTGATGCAGTAGGAAAAGCAAACAAGTATTTGGTCATAAAACTCTTTGTGGCTTTTTTTTTTTTTTTTGCAGCTTTTATATATTTGCATTTTGAAATGGAGGTATATATGTAATGTCACTTACAGTGTACCAGAAACCAGGAGATCAAGAACATGCGGTAGAGTAGATCACACGTGGGCAAATGTTCCTACCTCCCTTGCACTCTTCTGCCAGTATGCTTCAGTTAGAATGGTTCTAGACCTTCTGCTTTCCTGAGGCAAACAGTGCTAGACTTTTCTCCTAAAAGTCTGTTCAAAAACTTTGTGTGAAAGGAGGATTGTGTGGTTTTTAAGTCATTAAGCAAGTCAGGATTTCTTGAATTTGGGTATTATGCATTTGATTGAAGTCCACTAGGACCAGCCTTAACCAGGGCTTAGTATTGGTTTGAACATAGAGATCCAATGATAAAAAATACAGAAATCAGCTTAACTATCTTAGAGTATGGTCATTGGTGTTCAGGGAGAATATGATTTCCATTTCATTTTACTCTTTTGTCCGCTTCTAACAGCCATATATACATTGTAAAATGTGGCTGGATGTTGGCTGTAGATATCAGAAGCTTGTTAAATTAATTTGTTGTTTATTTCATTTTTAGGTTTCAAAAAATGTGAACAACATGACTGTGAATATGCCATACCAGTGTTTCATAAATGGCCAATTTATAAATGCTGATGATGGAAAAACATATGACACTATAAATCCAACGGATGGATCAGTGAGTAATTTCTAAATATGATCATTAGCAGTTTATTTCAATTTCTTTGCCTATTAAAAAGTCTAAACCACTAACTGAATATTGTCAGTTTCAAAACCATACAGTACACATTCAACAACCCCTAGAAATAATTTGAATTTTCAATTTACTTCTCAGTCTGTATATTTTACAGTTTTTGCATATAGTCAAGCTGCACAGTAAAAATAACCTACTTCCCCTTCAATTATTATGTCAATTTCCATACCCAGCCGTATGTTTTACTTTGATTTCATTCTTGCTTAGCTTTGCAAACAAAAATTGCTATGCTTTAGTTGCTCAAGAAGTATTTCTTTTAGGATATTATATGTATTTCCTGTCAGTCATTAACTTCAGTTTTTATTTTATTTTTTTTTACAAATCTGATGTCTTAGGGCAAGCGTAACTTTAAAACATCCCTTTAAATTGCCTGTAAGAAAAATGGCTTTGCATTTTGGTCTTGAAATACTGAGTCTTGGTTGATATATATTCATAACTATGAATTATAAGTAAAAGTAGTGATTCTGATGTCCATGCAATTGCCATTTCATTCTGGAGTAAAGAAATTCTGCTGAAATCAATACCACAAATTTCATTATCATGAGTCAGACTCTGGTACTTTTCCTGAAACTCATTATGGAATTGAATAAAAGTCATAACAATTCTGTGTTAGAATTTACAATGTGTGTATTTCTGGAACAGAATCATCATAAAAGACTCTGTGTATATGGTGCCTTATGGTAACAGAAGCTCCATTCCTAAGAAATGGAACATGCAGGAGTCGTTTTAGCATGTTTGGATATTAGATCATCATATCACATATAAAGACTTCCAACTTTTGTAATATCACATTGATTTTACATCTGGAAAGAGAGAGTTAAATCAGGTAGGACGATGCACCTTGATGCCAAGAAGAAGATAGATCTAGGAATCAGAGTCGCTGCAGAAGCCTCCAAATTCTGCCACCTCAATTGTTCCTGAACTTTTTGCAGCCTGACTCACCCGTGTCAGCTGCTGGGGTTGAGGATATCAAGTATTTGCTTATAGCCAGTCAGGAAGTTTATGTGGAAGGAGTAACAATCTGCATCCCAGCAATTTAGTCTGAGCTAACACAATGGTGCCTTCGGACAGGTAATAGCCAGTGTATCTTCTGCTTCATTGGCTGATGTTGACAAGGCAGTGGCAGCAGCAAAGGAGGCATTTGAAAATGGTGAATGGGGAAGAATGAAGGGCGACTCATGTACAGGTATGTGAAAGGCAGCTCCTATTGTTTTGTTTTCTTAAATCTTATTGGTTTGTTCCTCTGAAGAATTGTTGCATATATATTCTGAATATGAAGGATATTCGTAATCCCACTGTCAGAGGAACCAGACTAGCCATCTTTTCATCCCCTAATTTACTCAAGTGTACCGGCCTCAAGTCTTAGCTGACTAACCTTTCTTCAGCAGAGAAAAATTATGTGGTCTCTCACTACTAGCATTTTTTAAAATTATTTATGAATGGAAACAAAGAATTTGAGGTAAACGTCTTTTAAATACTTGATAGCTTCATTTAATCTGTATGCTTTTTATTGCAAGGATTGAAAATTCCCTTGTAAAGTCCAAATCCTTCTGTATAAATAAAGCTAAGTTTACAGGCAGAGTCTACCTACGGTAGGTAGGCAGAGACTTCTGACCTTGCTAAGCCTGCCTCCATCTGCGCTCCATACAGTAAACATACAGCCACATTCCCATTAATTTTGAAATACATTCTAAGTGATGCTAAATTTTCCAGGATCATATCCCAACATACTTCTCACCTGGCTAAAGACCCCCTCTAGGAGATGTGATATGGTCTGTTGTGGAAGAATTGTCCTGTGTGGAAACACTGAATCCCACATTTATCTGAGACACTTCCAGCTCAGTATTTCTTATTTGTATCAGTTTCATTGTGTCAACCCCAGATAATGCATGGTTCTTTTTTTTTTTTTGGCTGTGTTATTGTTTCAGAAGATAGGTTATGCTGAGTGAATGGTATTTTAGTGGTGGTTTCTGATCCCTGAAGGGCAAGAAGTGGTCTTAGAAGGATGATGATGCTAGCTATGTATTGTGAGGGTGGTCCTGGAGGCAGCTAATAAAAGCCCAGTAACTATGGACTCCATATGCAGCATGATGCTTCTGGTGCCTTATAGCGAGTGCAGAGAGAACACCGTCTTCCAGACTTGGGATGACTAGAAGCTCCAGAGCTTCCCTATAAAGAAAGCCTCTTTTGGGGAGGTTCATAAAGAGTTTTCACTGCTTTTTCTTTTCCAGGACATAAAAATGACTAAGTAGAATAGAGATGAGTGAAGAAGCAGACAGCTATTCCTGATTGCCACATTTAGCTAATGTGATGATGGAAAATCAATCGTCAGCACAGAGGAGATGTACTAGCCAAATTCTGTTCCTATTCAGCAGGTGAAGAGCTTAGTTACTGTGCTTGACATAGCAGCTGGCTTTAAAGAAGTTAGGATCTTGAATAGAGCTGAAACTTCCTGCCCCAAGGAACTCATGAAGAAGTAGGTCCTGTGTGTCAAACACCTTTCTTCTGCAGGGTGTAGTCTGCAGGCTTATCCACATTACTATCGGATGTCCTGGGCAAGACATTTGTGCTGAGCAGACTGGATATTTATCTATAGGGAAGAGAATGAATTTTTTTCACCTTCAAAAAAGATAATCTTCAATACCGTGTCCATAACCGCTGCTGTGTTAAGCCTTTATTGTGCTGTGCCAGGAGGCTAGCCCTGGACACCAGAAGAGACAGCAGAAGAAGGATGAGTTACATGGTGAGCAGCTGCAGGATGGTAGCAGGCTATGTATTTGGATGGCAAGACAGTCTGGCAGTTTGCTTGGGTGCAGGGGTAGGTCACTGCCCTTCCTTTTATTGTTGCACACTGGTCTCTGTGCAACTTCTGTGAGGATTTGGAAACTGAAGATCCAGCTGATTCAAAGGTTTGGAATATGCAACTAGAAAAATGATCCTGTCCTCATAAGGCTGGGCTTAGCCTAACCAGACAGTAAGGAGTAGGGAATCCGTTGCATGTCTATGCTCTGGCAGCTAAGGAAGAGGAGCATGGGAAAACGTAATGCTGCACTTGGCTCTGTGTCCACTGTAGTGTATGCAGCAGGTCATTTGTTATCACATTAGTATAGCTATAATTTTGCTTTCTTGAATGCCTTGGATGTAAATTTCCCTCCCCTCTTTTACCATATCCATATGGACCGAGTAGATGTAATTAGAAATAAAGAAGTATTAAAAAATGTCACATGTTTTACAAGACATTGCAGGCATCTTAGGAAAAAAGAATGAAAGTAAAACTGAAAATTCTGCTTGTCTCATAAAGTATGTGACCAGGCCTTTAAAAAAGGCCTGCAGGACTGTAAAAAAGTTGAGTAATCATCACAACAGAAAGTGAGTGACACAGAACTCATATTAAAATTAAATACAGTCAATCACATTTTTCACAAGTCTGCACAGATTCAAAGTATGTTCAAATTTGGGTTTAATTTGTGTTAGGAACATAGAGTGCATGACAGCCCAAGTTAGCTCTGCCCTGAAGAGAAACTTTTAAGGCCTTAGAACTACTGCTCTGTTTTACACTTGAAAGATTTGCAAGTATAACTATGTTAGGCATGTTGAAAATGTAACTCCCCTACACTGCATGAATTATTCCTGGATTAAACTCTTCTCTGCTTAGGCTACTGGCTCTCTAGGATAGCTATCCAAAGTGTTCGTGTTGCAAACCATCCCCAGTATGAATGCAGTATCCCTCTGGTCCACCTTAATTCAAACAAGACCTCTTCATCTCTGGTCTCTGTTCAAACTAGGGTTTTTGAGTGCTGAACCAGAGGGAAGGTTTGTGCCATTAAAGCTCCTAGCTCTGCTGTTTTGTCTTAAGGAATCATTAATAGAAGGTATTAGGCATGCATTAAATGGAACTTCCTCCTTTGTCTCTGACATGCCGTGTCTGTTCTTTTACACACTACTGCTGATACCCTGACCTGTAGCTGCGTCTCCAAAATACAGTTAAAACAAGTATTAAAGAGCATTTTTCCATGTCTCTGCAAATGCTTCAAATGGGCAGAATTTACATAATGGGAAAATGGGTTTCACAGCAAGTTTTGAATACTCTTTACAGGATCTAAAATGACTTGGTTGAGCTCTTAAAATCAAAGGGAGCGTTGATTATACGTCTGACTACCAAAACACAGACAGAAGCTTAAGAAAAATGTTGATGCATCTGTTTCACTGACATGTGAGAGATCTAAGACCTGAATGTAAAAATTTGTTCATGCAAACGGACCTTTCTGCCCGAGCAGGGGACTGCTAAAATTACAAGAGCTCCTCATAAGTATAGGTATCTGTCTGTGCAGATGCATTTTTGAGACACTCTGATAGTTACTATTAACTCAATAATATTTACCACACCTCATTGTGTTGCTTCATAAATCTAACAGATGGAGAACTTGAGGCCCAAGGACACCATGGGCCAGATTTTCAAATGTACCAAGGCATATAAAATTCAATTTGCATTACAGATTAGGAGCTGTGTCTTTGGACATCTGGGTGCCTTTGAAGCATCTAACACTTAAGTATTTTAGTACAAGTTCAAAAAAATACAAAACAGCATTATGAAGGTAGGTTTCCCAAATCTTAAGCTAGGACTCTGAGTACTCCTTCTTGGTACTTTTGATTACTTGACATTTCTTATGTTATTGTGTATTTGCTTTCAAATTACTGGTCTGATTTTCTGTAATTGTCTCCTTGTAGGACAACAGAAAAAGAGTACAAATTTACTTATTATTTTATTTACAAAACTGTAATTGAACAATATCAGGTAAGTTTTCACTGTTCATGTCTTCATCAAGTGTCTACTACAGCCAATGTGAAGACATTTGCAGACTCTAACAGGCAATTGTTCAAGCTCTTACTGATATTAGTGAGCAGTGGCTCCGGTGCTCCACCTCCAAATTCAGTGAGAATGCAATTTTAATTATGGTTCTTTGCCATACCAAATATCATTTTAGGCTGTCAATGGTTAGTTGTCACTTCTCTTTGATGTGGATTTGTAATGTTTTTATTAAAGACTTGCAGACCTGATGGAAGAACATCAAGAAGAGTTAGCAACAATAGAGTCTATCGACTCAGGAGCTGTCTACACTTTAGCTTTGAAGACTCATGTTGGAATGTCTGTGCAAACATTCAGATACTTCGCTGGATGGTGTGACAAGATTCAGGCAAGTGAATATGTAAAGGAAATAACAGCAGTGCTTCTCTAGACTTTTGGTTTTGTTTTTGTTCTGACAGTGCCAAAAAGCAGTGTTAGTCAAGGAATCAAAAAATAAAGCAAAATTAGAATTTTACCTAAAATGGGTCTCCCTGGCAATACAAAAGGACAATCTGCTTCCAGTTGGAGAACAGGGATTTAGAATGTGACTCTAAATATCTCAGAAATCAATTGAGGTGTTACAGTGGACAGGCATGCTTAGTCAGCTCTTGATTATTCATGGAGCAGAATGTCGCTGTGGTCATCATGCAGGTAAGTGCAGAGACTCATGTGCTATGTTACATTCTGACCAAGGCTGCTGTGCCAAGGCTGGCACAGCACGTGGCACAGGTTCAACAGCATTTCTTCAAGTACCTTTTAAGGTCCCCAATCAAGAATATCATTCAGCTTTTTTTTTATCCATCTGACCCTCACTTTATGTTCTTTCATGCTTTTGTTATCTACGCTTTTATTTCATCCAACTGAAGATCAGGAGTTGACTATGGTATCCATAGTAGAGAATCATACAGTAGAAGCATCCCCACCCCTTTCTCTGATGCAGAAATGCTTCTGATTTTGAAGCCTACTCTGTGGCTTTCCAAAACATACTTATATGGCAAATATATTTGTAATAAAAATGATTAAACAGTACCTAGATTTGTCCTTTCTCTGTCTTTTAGGGTGCTACAATTCCAATTAGCCAGGCCCGGCCAAACCATAATCTAACGTTCACCAAGAAAGAGCCAATAGGGTAAGTATCACTTTTTTCTTCTTAGTAACAGCCTTGACATGCAGAAAAGCCTTTAAAAAGCTGCCATCAAAAATACAGTCTTTCACTGTTTTTCCCTGTTTTTTTTTTACAAGTGTCTGTGCAATCGTAATCCCCTGGAATTACCCACTGATGATGCTTGCATGGAAGAGCGCAGCGTGCTTGGCTGCAGGCAACACACTTGTTCTCAAGCCAGCTCAGGTACAAACAAAAAGGAATGTACAGATGGCTCGGGTCCTATTTGTTGGCAAGTTAATTCAGGCAATCTAGTGGATTTCACCCCTAGGTTGACCTTGTCATATGTTTTAAAGTGCATGTATAATGTTACAAATTGCCATGATGATACAAGATACTGATTGTCTTCAATTCTGCTCTGTTGCTACTCTCATTTTCAAGAAGGAATTCTTTTCCACAAGAAGCCATCACTTTTAATTTGTTAATACTGTAAGAAGATGAATATTGTATCAAAATTAATATGTCTTGAATGTAAAAGATATCATATTACATTTAATTAAAATAGGAGACCTAATCTAAATGTTTCTACTTAGGTCACACCTCTGACTTCCTTGAAGTTTGCCGAACTCTCAGCTAAAGCTGGGTTTCCCAAGGGTGTTATAAATATTCTGCCTGGTTCAGGTAAAATTTCAACTAAACATTTTTCTGGGAAGAATAGGTCATGCTAAAACTGGTGAACTAGCATTTTATCTTTTTGAAGACCAATAACATAAGTGCGTGTATCTTCATAGGTAATAGGCTTGCATCTATGTCATACAGCGATTTCACATATTTCCAGAACAGAATTGGAAAAATCTGTATGTCACCTGCCTCTGGCTGGTGGTAAGAGCTGTCAGCCTACACCCTTCAGAAGTTCACACAAATAGCATGAATGCTCTGAAAAAGAATGTATTAGAGAGAAGCATGTTTCACTTGATTGTAAAACTTCATTTTTTCTCCTATCTTATCATCACTTGGAAGTACTTAAATGTGACTCTGAGACCTAGAGCAAGCTGGTAAGATGCATATTGGTTACTATAGGTAAATCATGGTCCACACCGTGTTACCCGATGTCACCACTTTCCTCTTTCCCCTGAGGAAGAAAGTGACAAAGTAACTGTATGGGGCAGGCTCTGTTACAAATCAGATAATTCCACCTACAGTGGAATATTAGGAAGGAAGTTCTTTAGTCCAGAGAGATAGGGGAATCTGGAGACACTAATGTGATCCAAGCTAACTAACATGATGTTTTTCATAGTTATATGAATAAAGCTGTAAATATAAATAAGGATGTGATATTGTACTTGATTGACATATTGTTAGCTCTTTCTGTGTTACAGTGCTGCTGCTGGAGTAGTAAAAATTGCCTGTGTACTGTCCAGTTAAGCTGTTTTCCTCACCCCGATAGGTGGCTTAGTGGGACAGCACCTCTCTGAACATCCAGATGTTCGCAAAGTTGGATTCACTGGTTCAACACCAACTGGTAAACAGATCATGAAGAGGTACTCTCAGCGAAAGATTCATAAATAAACACTGCTTAATCTAGTTCAGAAGTATCTTATTAGCTATATTGTGCATGTAGCAGTAATAGAAAGCATAACTACATATACCTGTTTACCTTTATGTAGAATTCTACTAAGTCACTACTGGAAAACAGAGGTTTATAAATTTTCACTAGATATGATTCAAAGGAAATAATGAAATAAGCTATTTAAAAGTTGTTTTTATATGATTATTTATATTTTTTACAGTGCAGCCACTAATCTGAAGAAAGTTTCTCTTGAGCTTGGTGGTAAATCACCATTGATCATATTCAGTGACTGTGAACTTGACAGAGCTGTAAAAATGGTAATGTTACTTTGAAGTAAAATACATTCAAAGCCTTTGTGATACATCCTCACAGTATTGCAGTATTCCTCTTGACTTGCCAAAAACTGCAGTAGGGAGCCCTTGCATGAAAAATCATGCAATCTGTTAGAAAACAGACTCTTTTCCTACAGGATGTTTCTTTATGCCAGCACAATTAAACTGTTCATGCTGCACCAAAAAGGCAGGGATCAGTACTACAAGAAATATAGATTAGAAAAATACAACAAAACAAGGAAATACACCTGGAAAGTATTTTCACTAGCCAAGTTAGCACATTAATATTGACTTGTCAAAATCTGATACTCAAAAGAAAAAAAAGCATTTAAAAAATAAAAGCCTGGAAGTGGTTAAAATGTACATTGAGCTCCCTATTGCCATATAGTTTGTTGTAATTCACCATATGGTCAATCACCATAAGCCACCTTCCCAACCAGACGTAACATGTTTAAAGTTCATAAATATAATGTGCAAATGAGAAAGTCAGTGGATTTAGGGAGTTTATTTCCTGCTCAGGTAATCTGATTCATCAAAATGACAGCAGCCGCAGTTTGCTCACTAAAAAGCAAACAAAGGTCTTCTATACTGTACTTAGCCAAAGTGCTAATTCTGTGAATTCTCTAAACCAGCACAAGCAAGCACTGCTACCAGGAAGAAACTATTATACACTTTCACCATTTTTGAAGTGTCTTTTGGCAGGACAGGACTCTGAGTGACTCCACAGTGAAGTATATGTGGAAAATAATAATAGCTAAAACTTTGCCATCAGCCCACTGCTTGACCCCACCACTGTTCTCAGCTGTAGAAGTGAGAGGGTGACGCAGAGGCTGGCCTGAGCTATAGCTGGCATTGTTGGCTTTAAATGATTGTGAAACAATGCTTTTTTGCCACACATGTGACACTAGCGCATGATCCCAGTCATACCTACTAACGCCAGGACCCTAGGCCTCTGCAGCTGCTAGAAAACTACCTTCTTATGAATTTTATTTGTCCTGTTCTTCCTTCTCCCAGCTCCCTACCCCCCTGGAAAAACAATGGCAGGTGTCAGTTCTTGGTAAATAAAAAGGAACAAACTGCATGGGGTCTGAATCCACACTCTTGAAATAGGTTCTCTGCAGATTAGAGTTAAGTAATGTTCACCCAGTTACACGCGACTTTCGATGCAAGCAGTATTGCTCAGTGGATTAGCACAGTTTTATATTCGCTGGTCGTGCTGCCAGCCCTCTCCTCTGTGATGCTGCAGCAGGTGTTTCTGTGGAATGCTGATGGAAATGGAAAGAGCATTGCTAATGGGTTCATCCGGAGCCATTTGTCTCCATGGAAGTGTGTTTGCCAGTTATTAGTCTGCTTGTTGCACTGATGATGTCCCTTTACATAAAGTATTACGCATTGAGGGTCACAAACACAGAATGCAACCCAAGGGAACAGAAGGAAAGGGAGATTGAACAAAAGGATGCATATAAATATTATTTTTTTTCCCCTGATCAGGGTATGGGAGCAGTATATTTCAACAAAGGAGAAAACTGCATTGCAGCTGGCAGGTTGTTTGTGGAAGAATCAATCCATGATGAATTTGTTAGAAAAGTGGTAAGATATTCAAGGACTAAAGTTTAAACACTACTTTTCTGTGGCACAAAGAGCCACTATTTTATAGACACTTGCATTTTTTCTAATCTTCAGTTGTTTAAATTCTCATTATTGCTTATGATATGCAATGTTGCTTCTCAGGAACCTCTTTATGGGGTTAAAAGGAAGGCACTGAAAGGATATATTTTAAGCAGTAATGCACAGATAAGTGACACTGAAGTAGCTATTGTACCTTAAGTAATATTTCATATTTGACTAGGAAAGTAAGATTAAAAAAATTACTGAACTTAGGTCAATGTGATTGAAGATTGCAGTGAAGTTTAAAAAAAAGGCATATTGGAAGTGTAGCTAGAATAATACAAAGGTCATTATTAAAAATCCAATAGTCACCACTCTGTACTACTGGAAAATTCATTTATCTGGCTCAAGAACATGAAATCACTGTGGTAACACATTTACCACCATAAAAGCTAACATTTTACATGCCTATCTTAATAGCAGAATGAGTACATGAAAACAGCATCAAAAACTTCCAGAAGTAAACAGAAATTATTGAACATAATACACCATACAAAGCCTCATTTTAGAAAGGGAAGAGCATTCCACTTTCTAAGAATCCAGCCCTTTCTTAGAGACAAACTTCGTAGCACAAACAATGAAGCATCCCAAATCACCGGTCGCTTAACTATTTGCTGTGTCCTGTAACTTCATTTTAACCTGGTAACCCATAGGTGGAAGAAATAAAAAAGATGAAAATTGGTGACCCACTTGATAGATCTACAGATCATGGTCCACAAAATCACAAGGCACATTTGGAAAAGCTGCTGCAATATTGTGAAACTGGAGTAAAAGAAGGAGCCACTCTGGTGTATGGAGGAAGACAAGTACGTAGACCAGGTAAAATACTGTTCAAAGATGTTTGGAACTTTTACACTTCAAATAAAAGCCATCATGGTTGTCTCTGCTGCATTATGTGAAGTAGCAATGTCATGGGAACAGGACCAGGTAAGCCTAAGATGACACTTGAGAACAGGGCTTTCAAGTCTCATATTAAGAGAAGTTGTGCAACTCAGGTGGAACATAGGAAATAGAATCTAGTCTATACAGGAAACTTTTGCTCATTTATTCCTGTTGTTTGTGAGGCATTGAGGCCTTTTGTGGAACATCCTTGAACTGTCAAGAACCATATGTATAATTCTATCCATTTAGGTCAACAAAACACTAAAGATGACTGAGGAAACTGCGTAAGGCATTATTATTATTATCATCATCATCATCATCATTATAAGCCTTTTTTGCTATCTAAAGAATATGTATACTAAGTTTAATGGGAAGGCATGAAGGCAACATTTTCTCATGAACATCTATCCTGTATCAATAATGAAGGAGAAACCTCTGCATCAGAGTTTGAAAACATAATGATTGCATCACCAAATAAAATGAAAGGGCGATTTGTAGCTATATGAAATCAGTCTAGCAAAGCAAAATGGGAAATCTTATGGAAAAGGGACACAATTACAGAAAATCTCTGAAGATGATCTTACCCGCTCACACTGAAATACGCTCACCAAGCTGTAGCTGACGAGGATCGCTTGTGTATAATACCAGGATAGGTCTTGACTGGCAATGATGAACTAGTTTTTGGATAGGTCCTTGCACCATTTAGAAATGAACAGTTGTTATGAAGAGGCCCTTTGCCTCACAGTTTTTACTTCAGCCTCCTCAAATCTCAGGCAAAGTCGCTGCCCATTGCATGTTTTTTCTTGTTTGGGATATACAGACCTTTATGGCTACAGTCTGTCTTCTTGTTGGGAAACAGGAGAGACAGTGGCCTTTGGACATGCTGTAGCCTTGCCTTCCTGCTGTCAGACTGCAGGGTCTTCCCCTGCGGAGTCCCCTGGGCTGTGGCAGGCAGAGCTTCTGGCCTGGCAGGGAACAGCACACCTTGCTGCTCTGATCAATACAGGCCATTCTTTTAAACAGTTTTCTGCTGTTTCTCTGGTGCTTACACACATGCGTTTCCTTCATACTTCATTCATATCGATCTTAATATTTTCTGTTACAAGTCTCAACATATCTCTGACCTCAAAGAAAAGAGATGGCCTGGACAATACAAACCACAAAGTACTTTCGCCATGCTTAAATAATGCTCTGTCCTCTGTTTAGGTTTCTTCATGGAACCCACTGTATTCACAGATGTCGAAGACCATATGTATATTGCCCAGGAAGAGTCCTTTGGTCCTGTGATGGTGATTTCTAAATTTAAAAATGGGTACGTTCTCCTCCAATTACTGTTAGAAACTTTATTTTCACATTTTCACTCTAAGTGTAGAAATGATAGCATACGTAGTATGTAGTTAAATCTTCTAAGACCAATCTGAATCTCTAGATCCTCTTCCAGCTAAATGCTAAGAAAATACCCTTTTTAATGAGAGGTATCCTGCTCCGTGGCAATATAGAACTAATTCTGTTAGCAGTGTGTAATAGGAATTAATGCAACCCTAAATGCCAGTTCTTAAATAAGTCTTAGTATTCAGTGAAACATTTTTACTGAAGTTGATGTGGAAATTGCAACAGCTTGATCAAATTACAAAATGTGTATTTTTTCCATCGGAATCACTTATTTTTCTCTTTGTCACAAAAGACCACATAGTGTTGTTGTGTATTGTGTCACATTGGCACATTACTGTTACAAATGAAACCCCCTCTGTATGTTTTGTAGACTGCCAGTTTTAACTGCTTTCATTCCAAATCATCATTTTACACACAGATGAGATTAAAACCCTATATAAAAACTTCATATAACTATTTCCAGCAGGTTTCATATTCTGCAGTTCGATAATGCAGTTAAGAACCAGCCACACAGATAACCCTTCCATAAATTTGGTATGGTGATAAGGGACTGTTTTGACCTTTTTAAAGTTTTAAATTCTTATGGATTTTTGAAGCTATGTGGAGATGAGATGCAAATAGAAAATAGCACTCTGGAGACGGCCTGAAAAGTTGTGTCTTGATAGAAGTCTGAATTTCAGCATTTATTCTCCATTGACTTGTAAAGCAGGGCCAAAATTTTAGCAAACCGATTCATAATTTGCTGCCAAGGTCTGCTTTACAACTATTTTTGTTTCGCTCTAATCCCCATGTTGTACTGTAGCTGAGCAAAGTTGGTATGCATAGTGCAACTTTTCCTTTGACATTTCTTAGTGTAGATCTTAACCATTGAAATGTAAGCTTACGAGCTTTGCAAGTTTGAAACAAGGGTATGAATTTCCATAAATCTGTCAGATTGACACACAGATTAGTCCTTAATAAATTGCCTTTAAAAAAGCTAACCAGAGAAGAAAGAGCGTGGGAAAAGGTGCTTCAATGACATTGAAGGCAGAAGTTTGCTAACACTTGTTTATTTTACCTAGTTGCAATTAAATCATTTCTTTCCCTCACAGGGATGTCGATGGAGTGCTGCAACGGGCAAATACCACAGAATATGGCTTAGCTTCAGGAGTTTTCACAAAAGACATAAGCAAAGCTCTCTACATCAGTGAAAAGCTAGAAGCTGGCACAGTTTTTATTAACACATACAACAAAACTGATGTGGCAGCACCATTTGGTGGATTTAAACAGTCTGGCTTTGGGAAAGATTTAGGTAAGTTGTTTTCTCCCTTCCTCATTTCTCAACTGACAGTCCAAATCAATGAAAAAACCACCTTCCCCGTGTACAGTGTATCTAGTAAAACATGATGCAATTCCTACATCTCCTACATTCCTCCGGTTACAGTAATCTCGTTCCTCTCCCATCCCTACAATATTCCCACCTCAATACCTCCAGTTCAGCCCTTCCCGTACGTTCACTAACCAATGCTGACAGCACGCAGAATATTCCTCTCCAACTCCTCCCAGAACAGCCAAATTGCAGCTTGTCCAGAGCTGCGTACAAAATGCTGTCAAGCAGCAAATGTATTGGCCAAAATCTTCTTTCTTTACCCTCAGAAAGAATGCTAAGTTAGGTTTCTCCTCTAAATGTGTAAAAGCATGGGAAACTTTTTTATGCCTTAAAATGTCACCAAATTTTGCTGACAGCCACAGAGAAAGATGCATTTGAAAAATCTTTTATTTTCAAAACCAGTTTTAAAAAATGTGAAGTCTAATCTGTCAAAGAAACTTCACAAGTCTGGACAGATCAAGCCTTGTGGCAAAGAAAAATGAAAGAAAAAAATTTTTCAGGGACACAACAGATTTTTGCCTTTGGAATCTCTAGCAAGTATCAGACATTTCCTGAAACCAAAATGAGTAATAGCGTCAGGAAAAAAGACTAACAATTTTTACACAGCTTCTTTACCTAGAAACTTTAACATAGGCAAACCAAAGTTCGTAAACTCAACTATGAGCCCCCGAAGGCCATCTAGACACTGCCACTGCTTCAGTCCCATCCAGGCGGCTGCTTCTTAAATTCCAGCTCCTTTTTCTTTCCACAGCTGTTGTCAAACCAGTTCTGTAAATCTTAGTGGGAGGGTAAGTTAATTAGTTTCCATTGTTCCTTAAGGTCTCAAATATTAGCTAAAGCATTTAAGGTTTTTTCTGAATAATATAGTTAAATCTCTGACAACATTCTCTTATTTAGCTGCTATTCTAACTGGTGAATATTGTGCTTGTACAGGTGAAGAAGCTCTTCATGAATATCTTAGGACCAAGGCTATCACTGTGGAATATTAAATGAAGAGCCTCACTTGGAAAGTAAACTTTCAGCAGAGTTTGAATCTTAATGACTCCATGAAGCACTTAATACCATGCCCAGGATATGCTGTCTGCAGTGCTACAACTGGAAAACAAAACAAAAAGAAACACAAACCAAAACACCCATTCCATGGATAAGTTTCTATAAACCAGGTCCAAGTTTTAGTATCTCTGACAGATAGAAGTATTTGGAAATTAACCTGAAGTTATTTAAACTATACAGCAGCAGCCTTTGTTAGCACAATACCCCCAAATAAACCAACAACATGGGTTGGTTTATTTTTTTAAATACAACTAAAGAATGAGTTCTCACATGCCTACTTCTTATTTGTGTGAACGTAATATTTACATAATCATTTTAAATCCTTAGTTATTAGCCTTCTCTTAAAGTTGAATTAAAATATACTGATGATGCCATTTTTGCTATAAACCAGTTCAAGCTTTACAGTAGCAATTCAACATTCTGCTCTGGTGATCCTTCAGCAGTACAGAAAACCTTTGTGCCATAAGAAGTAAATCAATGCAAGAAAGTGCACTTACTATGATCTTTGTATAGGACATACAGAGTTCAACATTGGTGTTAAACTATGCATATCAAGCTAAAGTTACAGAAAATATTTTCTATCTTTTTGTTGATACGGAGTGCGTGATCTGCCTGCAATTTGGAAGGTGGTTACATTAACAGATTAAAATCACTTTTTGTGTCTGTGCACATGGACTGTTCCCACTGTTTTATAGAGCATTATTACTTTGTATTTCACATTTTTTTTTTTTTAATTTATGGGAAAATCTCTTGTAAAATAGCTGAGTTAAGATGTTGGCTTTCAAAATTTCTTCAGTTTGAAGAGACATTTTCCATAGATTGAGACCTTATATAATAAACAAAGCCGAATTCAGACCACATGCTCTTCTTAGACTACAACTCTACCCAAAGCTTTATCTGGTCTGTGGGCTGCCATTACAAATAGCAGTCCCATTCTTTGATTCCCATCCTTCCCATTCCCTAAAACATTTTGTGGTTTTATCAGTTAATCCCAGTAAATTCCAGTAAATCATGCCCCCTTCTATTTTTAAAAAGACAGACCAGAATACTTGCCTTTTCTTATCACAAATATTAAAGAAGCAGATCTTAAAAGAAAACTATAGATTTAAGTATGAGATACAAAATAATTCTGTAAATAACTGCAGGTTTCAAGTCATGACATTTAATATTTGAGTAAATACAATATAGAAACTTTTATTTTAATGGTATAGAAAATACAAAGTTCCTTTAAGAAACAAATGACGGCATCCAGGAGCATGATAGATGCTTCTGAAATGCAAACTGATCTGCAAAGTAAATACAACAGCCCAAACCACTGTACTTGATCAATCTGAGGTAAGTATGAATGAGACATACTTTCACTGATTTTAGTTTCACAATTGTCTCAAGCTAACCTAAATACAGAACAGCTGAAAATTCATTTTTTTATTCTTCTGGCAGTGACAGTTGTTAACAAAATGGAGAGGACATAAACATGGCAGGGGAAGTGGGAGATGAAAAACATAGCTTAAAGCAACTGTAACACCAGAGAGGCAGACTTGACTGTTTAAGTACCATGGGTATCTGCACTGCAGCCACAAACGTTCCAGCTATGAGCTAGTAACCTACCCGCAATGCTACGGAGCTCACTGCAGGCAGACAGGGTAAATAATCCTTTGCCGAACGCTCTCTTGAGTCGTGGCTGTCCTCACCCGTGCCGGCTCATCTGTCACTGCGTTAGTGTTCAACAGTCATTGTCATGAATGCAATGTAGTACTTCAAGATAATGTTTAATATTGAAGATATTGTACATAACACTTCACAGGATATGGAATATAAAAACAAAGCTTTTTTTCCTAGTTAACTCTTTCCTGCCCTTGAAGTAAAAACTTCTATCACACTACAAAAATCTTTCTTCAACAAAGCAAGAGAACAAGAATTTTAACTTAACTAGTTCAGTGGCCCAAATGCTTTCTTAGTCTAACCTACAATGAAGTTCATTTCCATATTGCTTGATGAATAAAACCGTACTTAATTCTTCAGAAATCCAGTTTGCCTCAGTCATGAGTGGATCCTGAATTCTCCACCATGTAAACTATAGCATTTCACACAATCCTGAGGGATGCTACTTTGGGAGAGAAGGTGGTTTTACGGGCCAAGTCCTCAAAGTAATAAAACACAATTAGATTTGAAGTAAAATAAAAATGGATTTACTCATTCACTTTGCTGTCCAAAATTTCTATTTTGCCCTTTTCTCCCTTTTGTTTAGGAAACTTAATGTTGTCTATTGTCACTTCATCAGTTGTACAGTCATCTTCAGATTCTGAGTCATCTTCTGAAGTTAGTATCTCTTCATCTGTATCGGAATCACTCAGTTCAACTACGGCCACATTCTGGAAAAAGACCCTTAGTTAACATGTTATACATTTCTATACCACTTCTATCACTTGAGTAAAACATAAAGCAAACACATGAAACAGCCTACTATCATAGGAAAACCACAACCGCAATTAGAAAGACTTCTGGGTTCTCCTAGGATTATGACAAATATCATTCATGGACATATTCCTAAATATTTAAATTGTAATTTATGTTGCCCTATAGCAAATATAAAGCTATTTATACATCATCAGAGACATAAGTAGATAGCTGAACTCAGTTTAAATCAGATATTTAAAGTGATGAGCAGGAGGCATGAAAACTAATTTGCAGTAAAGAATTCAAATGAAACCATTTAGTGTACAAGGGGTCATGATATATATACAAACATGTGTTTATATATTTATTAATATAGGTCATATTTTATAACCTAGTAGTGTTCATGGTACTACAGCTACTGTAAAATAGCAAGCAGTTTAAACCACCAGGATATTTTTTGAAGCAAAAATGATCGTATATTTCCATACGCAGAGCCATGGTCTCTTTTGAGGTCTGTTTTTCTGTCTGAAAACATCTGTCTTAAACTGATAATCCTCACCTCAAAAATTTCCTGTATGCTGCAAAGCAAAGTACAGGAATTTGAGACACAAATAAATTTCTTCAGTGATTTGCAAACAGCAATCACGAGGTGTCCTGGCTTGTTTATTAGAAAGTGAAGACACTTAGACAGTGTCACATGAAAAATCTTTTTAAAATCCTGTCCCAGTTGCCCATTCCAGCATATTAAAACAAAAAATCTTCATGATCCACTTTGTTTTCTCATTATTTATTTGGAATTCTTCAGCATGTACCAGCACTGGACAACCTATCACGTGTAGGCTGGATACAATCTACAAGAACTCTGAATCCAACCAGAGGCCAATAAATTATTCTGACAGCTCATGCGCCAGACCCTGGGCTGCCTTATTTCTGCCTTTTATCTTGTGGGTCTGCAGGCCAGCAGGCACTTTGTCTGGGACATGCACATATCACATCATCTTCATATTAAAAATTTTCTTACATGAACATGTGGCTGCAGCACTTCAATTAAAACCAGATAGAAAACATTGACATGAATGTATATAAATAGACAAATACCAGCCATAAAGGATGACAACATCACCAATAACTTTTCAAAACCAAAGACCTATAGCCAGTCCTAAAAATACCTACAAAGCACAGCTGAAAACTAGTTATTACTCTTACACTGAAGCTTTCTGTTATGCCTTACTACGCCTTACACTGTCCAGTTTCTAAACCAAATTACCCACAAGACATTTAAAATACAATTTATGACTTACTTTTGATTCAGAGTTGCTGATTCAAAAGTATATCTTATTCTGGCCTTAAACTACTTCATCGCCAGTCATTAGATTCTGCAAGTATGAAAACCAAGTAGTAAATTTTAACCAAATAAGCATTTTTATTACATCTACATTTTGAATTTGCAGATCGCAGACTAAAATGGTAAAGATTTAGCCTTATCTATCAAATTAGCTCCTTCTAAGATCAGAGAATTATTTTAATCACATCTAAATTTACTTTATAAAATAAAAAAAAAGTATTTACCATTTCTATAACTTTTTCTGTTGCACTGTCTAGATTTTCAATATCAAACTGATGAGCTGGTGCTGTTACCATTTTTCTTCTTAGCTCATCATTTGCATGGGCCATCTGTGGTAAAAAGCTCTGTACTCGGTCCAAAACTGAAAAGGAAATAATTAACACATGTATATATACAAACAGATGTACACGAATTTATACATTTATACCTCAGAAATCTGAGCATTTAAACAGAGTCCATTTCAACTGTAATTTCCAGCTGTCTGCCATATCTAAGATGTTTTAATAGGAGGATTTATTATAGTATTCAATTTCCTAAGACATCAACAGCAAAAAGCTATTGAATCTATTGGTCAGCATGTGGTGCAAGAAGAAAACACTTCAACAATTCCATTCGGATTCTTAAAACAAAATGTGACCACTTTACACAAAACTTGCTTGTAAATTCCATGGTTTTAAATACATGTTGAGTGCCATCTTGAGAAACTTCCACATTGGTACTATCTCCAGTGGAAATATAATTATGTTCCCTTTTCTTCCCTATTAAAATATAGACTGAAAGTCTCAAAGAGGGAAAAAATAGCTGTAGCACTTATGCCACAGATGTCATGCTACACTAAAGAAAGTTCAACATCATTATCAAAAGGGGCTCTGAAATTAAGATGGTGGAACAGAGATGATGCTCTAGGTTGAAGTATAAAGCACTTATCCTCTACAGAAATACCCCTCTAAGCTCAGTGGGACTTCCCAACAATTTTAAGATAATCAGTGTCATTAGGAGAATCACACCCACTTCCCTTCCATGGAGGAAGGGAATATCTTCACCTGCCTCCAGAGTTTCTTGAAATAATCTTTGCTCCGCACATGCAGGTGAGCCAATCACTAGTTTTCATTCCCCGTTAAGTCAGAGGTACTATTCTGAGGGAGCTCCACGAAGTCTAACAGGTATAATCTACCTTTGAAACAGTGTCAGCATCTTTGTAGAGACTTTTATCCAAAACTGAACTTGATAGAACAACTTCTTTTTTCTATTACTTTTTTAAATCTCAGTTCAATCACAAAATAAAAATGTAATAATTTGACAGGAGTTAATTTTAAATTAAATGCTTTTATACACCAAATATTTTATCCTGATAAATTACTTCTGCAAAGAGATAAGAAGCCCAGAACAGCATAAAAGCAACAACTCTACACTGGAAAA